TGTGATAACGTCCAGAGTCTGAAAAACCTGAGCAGGGCTGTTGATGACAGAGGGAGTTGGAGGGGGGTGTCTCATTCATGTGGTTGCCCTATGTTGAAGATGACTTGATGGAAGTTAACAACAAGCATAGAGATCTGCCTACTGAAAGCAGGAGCATGGTAGCAACTTATGTGTGGCCAAAATGGAGGGCACACATCATCAAAGTCTTGTTATTACCTTTAAAGCTCTACATGATTTGGGTCCAAGTTACCTATAGGATTACCTCCTCCTGTATAATGCATCCCATACACTCAGGTCCTCTGGGGATTTTACTCCAGTCAACCAGGACTAGGTTGGCAACTATCAACCAGAGAACATTTTCTTCAGCCATCCATGGACTGTGGAACAACCTAGCAGAAGAGATTTAACAGATGAATACTCTGTTCGAATTTAAAACAGCATTAAAGACCAGTCTCTTCCGGCAGGCCTATCTAGATGATTTTTAAATTGTAAAATTGAAATGATGAATTTTAAATGTGGATTGTTATAATATATATGTATGTGTTTTCTTTATTCTTTTACATTAATGTGTATTTTTAACTGATGTTGTATATTTGTTGGTCTGTTGTTGTTTCCTAACTCGATTCATGCGGAAAGGTGGGTAAGTAATTTATCATCGTCGTCATTCATACAAAAGGAAGTTCACAAAAGAAAAACCCAAACAAACCTGACTGGTCAGCACACATATGCAGGAGGGCTCTCATTTTTTTATATTAGTCACAAAACATTTGAATTATTCACTGAAGAATTTTCTCATTTAGTGAGTCTTTCTTTCTTTCTTTTTTCTTTCTTTCTTTGGCAATATTCAGTTCAAACTCACATTAAACCAGGAGCTACCAGTTTTGTTTTTTTATTTCTGCCTGATTATCAATTTGCACCTCTGTAAAGGAAGGTTGAGGATTTCATTGTTTTGTTAATTGTCAATTTGCATCTTTGAAAGGTGTTGTAATTTTTTTCTCTTACTTGGCAGGTTAAGACTAATTCCACTTACAAACATATGCACAGACACTGTTCCTCTTACAGGTTACTAAAATAGATTATTTGTCATTTTTGGTTCATTGCTGTTTTCCTTTAATAAAATAATTTAATAATTTAATAATAAAATTATTAAATTAATAAAATCTACTTATTTTATTATTTATTCCTTATTTATTAGTTATATTTATTACTTACTACTCATTACTTGGAGAGCCAGTGTGGCACAGTGGTTTGAGTGTTGGACTACGACTCTGGAGAGTAGGGTTCAATTCCCAGCCCAGCCATGAAACTAACTGACCTTGGACAAATCACATGCTCTCAGCCTCAGGAACAGACAATGATAAACCTCCTCTGAACAAATCTTGCCAAGAAAACCCCATGATAGGGTCATATTAGGGTTACCACAAATGACTTGGAGGCAAACAACAACAACAACATTTCTTACTTCTTTATATTATTTTCTTCTAAAAATAAAAAGTTTAATTGATAAAATTATTATTAATTTAATAATAATTTAATAATAATTTATCAAAGCTAGCAGACATTTATATTATTACTGCTCTAGATACTCTTTCTTTCTTGTAGTAAAACTAGATGAACTAATAAGAAAATCAAAATGAATTGTATATTTTTGTTGGCAAATTTGGGTTCTGACTTTTGGAGCATCTGCATGTTATGATGGTATAAAAATACACACAACAGGATCAACATTGTTGTTTTTGTGCACATTCAAGTCATTTCCAACTTATAGCAAACCTAAGGCAAACTTAGCAACTGAAGTAAGCAGAGGACAAAGAGGGAAGTGAAAGGAGGAGAGCAATTTTTTAAAAGCAGCTGAGAAAGTGGAGTGACAAAGGATTAACTGATCCTGAACCTGCCAAATCAGGACAGCTGGAGCATATGAAATACATTTCTAAATATGTATCTATTGATGTCTTCAAGCAAGGCTTCCAATAAGCAGTCCATTTCCAAATCAGGACAGAATCCTTAATTTGTTGTTTCAATTTTCTCCCTTATCTAGTGATGGCAGTCTAGCAATCAAAGTTCAGTTTTAGAATGAGGCAATCTGGAAAGCAGGTTAAAACACAAGTGGAAAGCTGAACGCTTATTAAATGTATCAAAAGAAGCAGAAACCCACTTTACTTTCCCCCATGGGAATAGTTTTTTTTTTTACAGACTTCTGTCAACAGGCTAGAACTTGTTTTAAGGCCCATGATTTAGTTTCAAGTACAAAAATAAGTAGGCAACAGAATTCTTATAGTGGATGATTTTTCTATGTGCTAGGTGGTACACAAGTGGGAACTATGATTCATAATTGTAACAATAACATATTGCACCATTGTGTTGAGAGATAAAGCTAATTCTTTCTATTTCCACTGTTCAAGGTGTAAGTGCTGCTGTTTATAAATTCAAGCGCAATCACTCCAAGAGGAAGGTTTTAGAAGCAATAAATTGTTGTTGTTGTATGCCTCTGATTAATTTTTTAGTCATGCAGACTCTAAGGCGAACCTATCATAGGGTTTTTTTGGCAAGTTTCTTCAGAAAAAGGTTTGCCATTGCCATCTTCTGAGGTTGAAAAAGTGTGACTCACCCAAGGTCACCCAGTGGATTTTTATGCTTGAATGGAAAATTGAACCCTGATCGCAAGAGTCATAGCCAAACACTCAAACCACTACACCACACTGACTCTCTAGTCTCAATTACAGTAGAGCTACTGAGTCAACTGGATTTCCCTGTGTGTTGACTCACCATTCTGTAATTGATTCAGGGGTCTACTCTAGTTGGGACAATCAACAGGATTCCAGTCATACAATTGTGCAGTCTTGGACAGTGTGGCTCCATATGTCAGGGCCTTCAGTCCATCACCTGATATGCTGGGATTGCAGAATTAGCCACCGTTCATCCTCCACAACACTATGGGATAATAAACAGGCACACTGACATATATGATATTGTTAGCACAATGTTGGTATTCAAAATGCAAAAGGCATTTACATTCATTTAACCCAGCTAGGGGAGAGGAGAGAAGAAGAAGGTTGAGTCTTTCCCATTCCAGGAGGTTTAGGCAAAAGCAAACTGCCACAGCCACTTCTAGCTTGTGTGCACTTTCTCATTAATAACCTTTACCATCTTAATCACATTCTGATGTTGCTTGGCAAAACTGTCCCAGTTTTCATCAGTGAAATCTTGGGAGAGTATGTTACTTAATGCATTTTCTCACAGGAATGTTTGTGTACAATTTAAATGCATGTTTCTAATGTGTGAATTCAATTGTTCCTTTCATCCAATTTATGCTACTTCCCCCTGACTAAAGTATATTTGTGCATATATTCATTGAATTACTACATTGGAGGCCTTCAGATCTTAAAACATTTGTTCTGTGTGCAATTTTTTTTTTGAAAATGCCATATAAGTCTCATAGTTTTGCAGATTCATCTTTCAAGTTGTATTTCTTCAAATGAATCTTGGGAGATGTGGAAGATACTACTTTACTGAAGACTGTCAAATTCAACACAATTCATTTCTAATCCTGGATGCAGGGCATGACTGGCTGGTTGGAGCACAGAGTGCTTTACACTGAAACATTGTAGGTCACAGTTGTGAACTGTCAAAACTGCCTTTTTTTGTTACTGTTTCTGACCTAAATTACTCATCTAGTTGCATGATAAAATAATTGAAGCTGATGTTTTAGCAGCCTGACACCTCTTGCAGTCTGTGTACTGAATTGTTGCATAAATACTTTCTGTGTTACACTTTCATAGCAGTGAACCTCTGTGGACCCTTCTGTATTAAATCCATCATCACTCTGCAGAAGCTCTTCTCATGTGGCCACAGCAAGTTCCCCGGAATTCTGAGCAGTCCACATAATATCAAGAACCGAAAGCAAGGGTGATGAAGCGTGGCAGCTTAGGGTGCAATGATTAGGTTCATACAATCCTATGCAATCTTATATGGATGTAAATTCCAACCAAATGTCTATAGGGCTGAGGTGCATGAGTACTCCTCTGTAACCAGATTAGCACTAAGGTTGATTTAAGAGGGGGTCAATGTTTTGACAAATATTGCTTGATATTCCCAGATCAGACGACATCACTCTTTTTTGAGTTTACTGTTATTATTACTAGTAACCCATTAAATTCAAAAGGGTTGCTGGAGTTTTCATTCTCCAGATGTTTTGGATCCCTTACATTGGTCACTACAACCCCATGATCCCTTATCATTGGCCATAGAAACTGGAGCCGAAAACACCTCCAGAGCCAAATATTCCTCACTTCTAGTGTATGGAATAGCATACCGACTGTTGCTCCTGTCTCTGGGTCCACATTCATTCCTTGAGCCTGTCTCTGGGTCCACATTCATTCCTTGAGCACTGGAATCTTCTCTCCTTTTTTTAATGTGTTGGTTGGAAGAAATGCAAATAGCTCGACAATACAGTGCTATGGGATGGATATAATAATGGCTGAGGACAAACAAGTCATCAATGGCTCCCTAAAGGGGTTGCAGTGGGTGATTTTTCCCTAACCACTTCCTATAATGAAAGTACATAATGCAGGAGTTATCTTCCAGAGTAATAGTTACAGGGGTCCCAAATGCAATAGCAATAGCAATAGCACATACATTTCTATATCGCTTATCAGTGAACTAGCAATCTCTAAGTGGTTTACAGTGTGTAAGCCAATTGCCCCCAACAAGCTGGGTACTCATTTTACTGACTTATGAAAGGATGGAAGGCTGAGTGGACATTGGAGCCCTCCTCTAGGTTCGAACATACAACACTGTGGCTGCAGTAGTGGCATTCAACCACTGCGCCACAAGGGCTTCTTAATACACTTAACTACCTTCCCCACCTTTGCAACTTTCAATCTGTATTCTTTCTGTCAAAGTAGGACAAGATGTGAAGATAAAAAGATTCAGATATAAGACTTTATTATAAAACACAGGTGGGAATTGTGCAGCCAGTCTGAGGCCCCAGTACTCCACCCCTGGCCTCTTGCCTCTTTCAGCCTAAAGCTAACTTTTTCAGCAACACAAAACAAAACTTATTGAAGCCAACTATAGATATTTCAAGGTCTCTTGGCCTCCAAACCCTGAAAACAGCTTTAAAAAACAAAGGTGGCTAAAAGTGATGAAACACTAAAAAGTCCTCCAAAGTCCACCAGAGTGAACTGTGCATTCATCTTGGCTTCAGAATGTGCCCACTCTGTTATAGAAGATATTTATCTAAAAGAGCCACTGAGATCTAATAGTCTGAGGGTTTGACTTGGACTCTAGGAGAGCAGAATTTGAATCTCTGCTCTACCATGGAAGACCAAATCCTTTTCTCTCAAAATCTCTAAAGAAGGCAATGGCAAATCCATTCTGTGCAAATCTTGCCAAGAAATCCTTGTAATGGGGTCACTTTAGATTCACAAGTCAGAAGTGACTTGACATCACACAACAATAACAAGAAAAATATAATGTAAACTGCAGCTAGGAAAGTAAGAATAAAGACCAAGAAAGAAAGAGGGAAAATCCTAGTTTGCTTTAAAAAATCCTCTTTTTTCAAGCACGTCATTTCCTTAACCATTTCTTACAAATGAAGTTTTCTTAGAGCTGTGCTTCACAGAATGTTTGACAGCAGTGATTCCAAGATACAGTCATCTCTAGCAGTTGTATTAAAATGGTATTAATGTTTTCAAATCCACTTCCTATTTTTCCTGCTGAAAACCCTGCCAAGCACACTCTTCAACAGATAGCAAAATAATTTGGATGGTTGATATACAGTCCAAAAATTTTAGTGGAAAATTGCCAGAACTGACATCTGTGAAAAAGTGGACAATTTTTTTATTATCCTCAGAGAGTATATACTCTGTCCATATTTTTCTGTCTCCATGAGCCTTCTTCTTGAGAAGCCATTCTGTTGTTCTGTGTGGGTGAAGCAGATGCCAGAACCTACTTAACCCTTTCATTGCTGCCAAGGTCTATGCCCATGCAGATGGTTTCACTGGCATGTCTATGTACCAGAGATCTTACAAGATGAAATTTGTTATAAGTCAAGCCACCTCAAATTGACCCAGGGACTTTATATGTTTAAAATGAAGGATATTTAATATTCTGATTTACTACATAGCAACCCAGTTATGCCAAGACAATCTGCAAAAGTATCTGAGGATGTCTGTAATCAGTTTTCATCCAGATTTTCTATATAGGAAAATGGTTTGGTGAGTTCTCCTGATTTTAAAATATTTTCTTTTATTGGCTTTTTTCCACCACAAGAATGGAAAGTTTGGATCTATCCCTTTGT